AAATAGCAAAAAGTGCAGAGTATGTGCATATGTAAAGTGTAATAAGTGAATAAATAAATATGAACAGTAAGAAATGGATATACATTTACATTACATTACAGGTCATTTAGCAGACGCTTTTATCCAAAGCAACTTTACACTTTAAACCCATGGCTTTTTCACATTTTTGCCCGGGGAGCAATTAGGGGTTAAGTGTCTTGCTCAGGGACACTTCGTTGTTATTGTCCAGGTGAGAAAGAGCGGAGTTTAATGTCGTGGAGATGGCATCCTCCGTACTCCTGTTCTTGCGGTAGCGAATTGGAAGGGGTCCAGTGTGGGTGGTAAGCAGGTTTTGAGGTGAGCCAGGACCAGCCTCTCGAAGCGCTTCATGATGGTTGGAGTGAGTGCAACTGGGCGGAAGTCATTTAGGCTCACTGCGGTGGAGTTCTTTGGCACTGGCACGATGGAGGTGGTTTTAAAGCACATGGGGACAGTAGCTTGGGCTAGTGACAGGTTGAATATGTCAGTCAGGACCTTAGCTAGCTGCCCAGCACCGGGCCCTGAGCACGCGTCCGGGGACGCCATCAGGGCCTTATGTGCATTTATCCTGTTCAGTGCAGCACACACGTCGGTGGAGGAGAGTGTGAGGGGCCGGTGGTCTGAAGAGAGCACAGCCTTGATGGCGGCCTCCTGGTTGTCCCTGTCGAAGCGTGCATAATAGCTGTTGAGCTCGTCAGGGAAGGAGGCATCATTGTTTTGGGGGGTGGTGTTGGTGGGTTTGTAGTCTGTTAGTCAGTAAGCAGGGCTTATCACGCCGTCCCTCGTGCTGCACTGGGACACTCTGACCACGTCATGGTCCATCTGATTCCTGCATACAGGCAGAAACTAAAGCTCTGCAAACCTGTGGTGAGGGAATTCAATAAGTGGACCAGTGAGGCACTGGAGGATCTTCGGGCGTGCTTTGACTGCACAGACTGGAATGTTTTCAGGACTGCTACTGACAGTCTGGATGAGTTCACAGAGGCTGTAACTTCCTACATCGGCTTCTGTGAGGACAGCTGTGTACCATCATGCACCAGGGTGAGTTACAACAACGACAAACCTGGTTCACAGCGGAACTCAGAACACTACGCCTGCAAAAGGATCAGGCATTTAGGAGTGGGGACAAAGACCTGTACACAGAGGCAAAATACAAGTTTAGCAAGGCGGTGAGAGACGCTAAACGACTGTACTCTGAGAAACTCCAACAACAGTTCTCAGCAAGTGACTCTGCTTCGGTCTGGAGAGGCCTCAAACACCTCACCAACTACAAGCCAAACACCCCCCACTCCATGAATGACCTCCGCCTGGCAGACGAGCTCAATGAGTTCTACTGCAGATTTGAAAGACAATGTCCTGATCCCATCCCCCACAGCTCCACCAACCTGCTGCAATCCCCCTCCCCTCCCTCCCCCAGCCCATCAGGTGCTCACACCTCTTCATCTATATCACCTTCCCCTCCCCCACCAGCAACGACCCTCTCTATTCTGGAGAGAGACGTTAACCGGCTCTTTAGAAGACTAAATCCCCGTAAGGCAGCCGGCCCGGACTCCGTTTCCCCTCACTCCCTGAAGCATTGTGCTGACCAGCTGTCTCCGGTGTTCACTGACATCTTCAACACCTCCCTGGAGACATGCCACGTACCAGCCTGCTTCAAGGCCTCCACCATCATCCCTGTTCCCAAGAAGCCCAGGATCACAGGACTCAATGACTACAGGCCCGTCGCCCTGACCTCTGTAGTCATGAAGTCTTTTGAACGGCTAGTCCTGACCCACCTGAAGTCCCTCACCGACCCCCATCCTGGACCCCCTGCAGTTCGCCTACAGAGCCAACAGGT